TGAGCACGGAGCTGGGTGAAGCCCGGGAGCGCAGTGAAGACCTGTGGATGGAGCTGGAGGAGTGTGAGCCCCTGCCCTGCCCCCAAAGTGCCCCCCTGGCCTGCTCTGGGGCTCCCTGGTAGCCTCATGGTGCCCTCCCTCCCCCCACTGTGCTCTTCACCCTGCCCCAGGGCTGTCTCCTGCCTGCATAGTGCTCCAAGCCATGCCCCTGGGGCTGTCCCCTGCCCCCACAGTGCCCCCCTCCCCTCTAGTTTCTGATCCAGTGGCTCAGGACAGGGATTTCTGTGTCCTCTCCTATAGTGACCAAGGAGCAGACAAACCTGGAGGACATCCACTGGCAGAAAGAAGGTGAGACCAGCCCAGATACCTGGCCTGGGTTCTCTGGGAGAAGTATGGGCCGGGGTGGGGGAAGTGTTACAGCAGTGGGGGCTGGGAGCTAGGATGCCTGGGTTTTTCCCCAGCACTGTGAGGAAAGTGGGATCTGGGGGTTAGAGTAATGTAGGCTGGAAGCCCATATGCCTGGGTTCCCTGGGAAGGAGTGGGGGCTGATAGTTTAGAGCAGGGGGAGCTGGGAGCCCAGACACCTGGGTTCTCCCCCAGTGCTGGGTGGGCAAGTTGGGCCTGGGGTTAGAGCAAGGGGATGAGAGCTTGCCTGCCTGGGTTCTTCCCCAGCTGTGGGTGGGGATTCTGGGGTTTGGAGCAGGAGGCTGGGAGTCCTGATGCTGCCTGGGTTCTCTTTCCAAGCTCTGGCAGGGATGGGAACTGGTGGGTTGAAGTCAGGGGAGCTGGGAGCCCAGACACCTAGGTACTTTCCTTGGTCTGGGAAGTAAGTGGGGTCTTGGGGTTAGAGCAAGGTGGGCTGGGAGCCTGGACAGCTGGGTTCTGTCCTCTAGCTGTGGTAGGGATGGGTTAGAACATGGACACCCCCCCCATGGCTTGGGATTCAGAGCACGTTTGGAGGCGCGTGAGGTGCTGCAGCCGGGGGTTTGTCTTCCAGAGGCCTTGAGGGTGGTACAGGTGCAGTGCCAGGAGGCTGAGTCAGAGTCCCATCGGTGAGTTGGCAGGGGAGGAAAGAGGAATGGATCGATGGATGGACGGACAGATGAGGGACCTTTAGGGGAATGGGGAATTTGAGCAGGGGGGAGCCCAGATGCTTGGATTCTTGGGGAGGGAGATGGGAGGTTAGAGCAGGGGGGTGCTGGGAGCCTCGATGCCTGGGTTCTGTGGGAGGGGAGTTGGGGCTGGGGGATGAGAGCAGGGAGGTCTGGGAACCTAGACACCTGGGTACTTTTCCAGTAGGGACTGGAAGTGGGGAAGCTTGAGGGTCAAACATAGCTGTCACGCTTGGTGCCAGGACATGTGAGTTGTGTCCTTGACTCGGTGTGGAGTCTTGTGTTTACAGGGATGGTAGGCTCCAGGACTCCTGGGTTCTGCTTCATCTCTGAGATAGGAGTGTGTTTTACCAGTGGTGTGTGGGGACTGATTCCCTGGAAGCTTGGGTTCTTTCCCTGCCCTGGGAAGGGAGGGGTCTGGTGGGTCAGTGCAAGGAGGGCCTGGGCACTGGTACACCTGGGTTCTCTCCCCAGCTCTACAAACAGAGCATAAATAGTTGGAGTGAGGGAAGGAGCCAGGACTCCGTGTTCTAACCCCACTCTGGGAGAGGCACAGGGCCTGCTAAATTAAAGCAGCTGACTGGGGCCCTAGACTCCTGGGTTCTTCCCACGTCATGGTCAGCTCAGACCCTTGGCAGGGTCCTGTTCTGGGTTCTGATCTTCCTTCCTTCCCCACACTGCAGCCAGCATGGCCTCTTGCAGGAGGTGCAGCAGCGCATCCAGGACCTCACCATGGGCATCCAGGAGGAGACCCTCAAGCAGAGGAAGCAGAGGTGCCACCCCTGGAGGCACGGGTCATTAGCTAACAAGGAAGCTAGGGGCAGAAATCTGTCTCCCCAGCACTGGGAGGGCTAGTGCGGGGGGTGGTCAGGAGCCCGGATGCCTGGGTTCTTTCCTGGCTTGGAGCCTGGTGGGTTAGAGCAGAGGGGCTGGGAGCCAGGACACAGGGGTACTATTCGGCTCTGGGAGTGCACTTGGGATGGGTGGGTTAGAGCTGGAAGCTTGGATGCCTGGGTTCTGTCCCAGCTCTAGTCAGTCTTGCATTCCTACACACACTTCAGTGCATGAGTGCACACATGGGTATGTCCCAGATGCCTGGGGGGTGTGTGTGTGTGTGTGTGATCTGGATGTCTGGCTTGTGCATGCATGTGTATGTGTGATAAACTTGGACACTGGGTTTATTTGTGTGTGCATGTGAGAGAGAGACCCAGATGCCTGGGTCTTTTCTGCATGAGTGGTGGGCATCTGTGTGCGCGTGCGTGCATGTGCGTGCGCACGCACATGTGGCAGGTGCTTGAGTCTAGTGTGTGTGTGTGCATGAGAGAGAGACTCAGGTGCCTGGGTTCTGTGCATGTGTGTGTGTGTGACCTGAACATGTGGATCATGCGTGTGTGTATATGAGAGAGAGAGACCTAGACACCTGGGTTCATTTGTGTGTGTGAGACACCCAGATCCTTGGGTCCTGTGTGAGTGCATGTGACCCAGATGCCTGGCTTCTCTATGTGTCACAGACACCTCAGTTGTGTGTGTGTTTGACCTGGATTCATTTGTGTATGTGTTTGTGACCCAGATGCCTGGGTTCTGCATGTGTATGTGAGAGACACAGATACCTGGGTCAGTGTGTGTGTATGTGATACACTTGGATGCCTTGGGCTCATTTGTGCATGTGCGCACGTGTGTGACCCAGACACCTAGGTTCTGAGTGTATGTGTGTGCCCTCACCTCCTGCCATACCACATACTCCAGGGCATCTCTGGCTGTGGCTGGGTACCATTCCTGTACCACACAGTCACCCCCTCTCCTGCTTTCAGGCTGGAGTTTGAGCAGCAGCTGGATGAACTGATGGAGAAGCACAAGACCCTGCAGGAAGGGCATGTAAGAGACATGGGAGGGTCTCCTCATGGGGAGCTCGGATGCCTGGATTTTCTCCCAGCACCAGGAAGGGAGTGAGGCCCAGTTAGTTGGTTGGGAGCCAGGACACCTGGGTTCTCTAACAGCTTTGGGAATAGAGTGGGGTCTGGTAGGTTAGAACAGGGTGCTGGAAGCCTGGACACCTGGGTTCTCTCCCCATTCTGAGAAGACAGGGAGTCAGTCTGGTGAGTTCCCTGGGTAATTAACCCAGAGTTAATTAATTCCCCCTCTCCTCAGACCATGGATAAGCTAGCTGTTGAGATCCAGAACATGTCAGACAGCTGGGAGCGGCTGCTGAGAGAAGGTGAGCAAAGGGGCACTTGGCATGATGCTGGCCTGAAGGGTCTGTACAGCACTTGATGCCTCCTGATCCTGGCCTGGGGTGTCTGTACAGTGCATGGTACCCCTGATACCAGCTGGAGGGGGTGGGGGGGGGGGGTCTGTACAGCACCTGGAATGTCCTGTGACACCCTCCCTACTGGCCCAGATGAACTGATCCAGGCAAAGCTGATGCAGTTGAAGCAAAAGCTGGATGTGCTGGCCCAGGCTGGGGCTGGGCGCCGTGAAGAGAGGAGGTTCCTGAAGAGCCCGGAGGCCAGTGCTGCCCTGTGAGTGCCTGGGTTCCCTGGGAGAGAAGAGGGACTGGCAGGATTAGAGCAGGTGGGTCTGGGAGCCCAGATGTTTGGGTTCTCTCCCAATAGGTATCAGAAGTGGGGAAGATTGAGGGTCATTTTGCCCCCCAGCCTAGATCCCAGACACCTGGATTCTGTCTTTGACTGGGTGTGGAGTCGTGTGTTTTATAGGGAGGGTAGGAGCCAGGACTCCTTGATTCCACTGCATCTTGGAGGCAGAAGTGGGGGCTGGGAATGGGCAGGGGATGGGAGCCTGGATGCCTAGGTTCACTGGGGCAGTGAGAGCAGGGGGGACTAGGAGCCTGAATGCTTGGGTTCTCTGGGAGGGGAGTGGGGGTTGTGGGGTGAGAACAGGGGGGACTGGGAGCCAGGACGTCTGGCTTCTCTGGGATGGGTGTGTGAGCTCAGGGGTGAAAGCAGGTGGTCTGGATGCCTAGGTTCTGCTCTGTGGCTTGACCAGAAGGCAGTTCTGGCCCCCCATATACAATGCCAGATGTGGCACCCTGGCATGGGGTGGGAGGATGTCTGGTGCTCACCCTCTGCCCTTCCCCAGACAGCTGCTGCAGCAGGAGAACCAAGGTGCCCATTCCCAGTTGGAGGTTGCCACCCAACGCCACTGCCAGGGGCTGCAGCGATGCAACCGGTGAGGCATGCCCGGGTTCTGTCCAGTTCTGGGAGGGGAGTGTGACCTGGAAAGTTAGAATGGGGCTGGAAGGTGCCTGGGTCCTTTTCAGCTCTGGGAGGGAAGTTGAGCCTGGTAGGTTTGAGCAGGGGGACTTGGAGCTGGGACACCTGGGTTCTCCCTAGCTCCAGGAAAGGAGTGTGGGCTTGGTGGGTTGGAGACCTGGGGCTGGGAGCCCAGATGCCACCTGTGTTCTGTCTGAGTTTTAGGAGGGAGTTGGAGAGCAGAGGGGCCTGGGCAGCTGGACACCTGGGTTCCCTTCCAGCTGTGAGAGCTGGGGTCTCCTGGCAAGATCAGGCTACAGCCCTGGTGGCCAAGCCTGGCAGCCTCTCTTGCCGCATCCCAGCTAGGGTGGGGTGAGTTGGGATTGGCTCCTCTCCAGAGGTGGATGCATTCTCTAATACTCGCCCCCCTCCTCCTTCCAGGCTGAAGGTGGAGCTGGAGGGCCAGGGGTGGAGGAGCAGCACCAGCCAGGCATGTGGGCTGAGGATTAGGGTGGGGATGGAAGAGTAGATCCAAGGATGTGTATGGGGATGGTCAGAGAGAGGGGGGCATAGGGTGGGGGGATGTGTATGGGGATGGATGGGTGGATGAGGTGATGGAGGGAAGGATACAAGGGTGTGTATGGGGGGGAATGGAGGAATTATGTTTATAGGGCAGGTAGAGGGATGGTTACAAGTGTGTGTACAAGGACAGATGGATGGATACAGGGGTGTGTATAGGGATTGATGGATAGAAGGCTATAGGGGTGTTTTATATGGATATAGAGAGGGAGGGATGGATACAGGGTGTGTATGGGGATGAATGGGGTGTAGAGGGATGGATGTGGGGTGTGATGTTTGGAAGGTATGGATGAGTGGGGGATGAGGGGAGGGAGGAAGGAAGAGTGGGATGGATGGATGGATACACAAGAGTATGTATAGGGATGGGAGGATGGACAGGGAGGGATGGATACAGGAGTATGAATGGGGATGAGGGGATGCCTGGACACGGGTGTGCATGGGGATAGAGGGAGGGATGGATGGATGAGGGTGCAGGTGGATGGAACTGTGGTGGGCAGGACCTTCTCTGTCACAGGCCACCAAGGAGGGCAAGTCCAGTGCTGGGCCCCCATTTGAGCTGGGTGCCTGTACCCTGCTGACTTCCCCCGCCCCCCCCCCCCATCTGCCCACAGCTGGCACCCAGGGACCAGAAGGTGGCTGCGTGACACCAGGATGGCACCCTATGTTGGAGTGAACCCCTATGTCTGGGCATTCGTCCTCCCTCCAGCTTGGTACCAATAAAGCCATCACCCACCCAGCATCTTCTCACTGCTGATGGGGGCAGGAATGGGAAGGGTGGAGAGCCCCGACACCTGGGTTCTCTTCCTGCTCTGGGAGGGGAGTGGGGTACTGGGGAGGGAGAGCTGGCAGGGTTGGGAGCTTGGACACCCGGGTTCTCAGGGAGGGGAGTGGGGGTTGAGCATCCATCCCCATACACTCCTTTTAGATCCATATCCATCCATCCATCCCTCCCTCCCTTTATCCATATTGTCGTAAATCAGAGCAGCCGCCGGCAGCTTGTCTGACTCACAAACCGGAGTGTTTAGATTTAGAGCTCGGCAGGCGGGTAATTGATGGATGGAGTGGAATTAACCAGGCACAGACACATGTAGGTTACAGGAGTTTGTTTA